AGGCATGTAATCATACTTCCAAAAATTAACTAATTAATTAACATTCTAGCTAATATAGGCATGTAATCATACTTCCAAAAATTTAGACATTGTTGTACAAAATTAACTAACATAGGCATGTAATCATACTTCCAAAAATTTAGAAAAAGAGGCCAAAATGGAATTCACTTACCACTGCGCCCCAAACAGCACCTTGCTTTGACACCCATCTTAGCGTGAAATTTCGATACCACCGCATGTAGCCATCGTGGTACCCCATTGGCCTTGTCTCCGGCAACCCCGTCACCACCCACTGATTTCTATTCTCCCATATGTTGATGTAGAATTCATGCTTCTTTTGCCAATCCTTTTTGGTGTGGCGTAGGTCAATGGCGTGGAGCTCCCTGAACCCTTGAGGTGGGGATGCTGGAATTGGTTGCTCCAATCGATATTGCCTCAAAGATCGATCGGGCAGGTGCCATTCCACCATGTGGAAGCAGATTAAGGGCACCTTGCACAACCATGTCTCTTCATCCTCGGAATGTCTAAGACGATGCAACTCAACCACTTCATTTGGATATGGATCCCATACCGCCTACAATCATTATAGTTCATGGAATTAGTACAAATTATATCCACTCCACCTAAAAAATTGAAAATGATGAAATTTTATATTTTTACCTGGTTCCACCAAGGCTTATCGAATTCAGCACGATAAAACAGCAAAGAGTGTTCGGGCTGGTAGTCGTTTGTATTTGCTCCGATCCACCTAATTAAGCAAAAGTACGTATATAAGCAATTTTTATGGCATAGATGTTTACTTGTTAAGTATGATTGTATGGAAGCATCTAAATTGAACTAAAATTCCTTACTTGGCAATAATCTAAATTAGCTAAATACGATTTGGTTAGAATAAATCTAAATTTGCTAACTTGGAAGATATCTAAATTCACTAAAATACTATAATTGCAGACCTAAAATGTCACTAAATTTGCTTACTTGAAAGATATCTAAGTTCACTACAGTTCACTAAATTCACTTACTTGGAATAGATCTAAATTCACTAAAATTCACTAAATTCGCTTACTTGGAATAGATCTAAATTCACTAAAATACTACCATTGCATATCAAAAATAAATTAAACTTAAATTAAACTTACTTGAAACCATATGGGGGATTTGCTACAAATCGTAGCTCATCATCTGGCAACCAGAATTCCCGAGGGTTTCGAGGTGCTAAAAACGGAAGATGCTCCCATGCCCAGAGTTGGAGTATGAACATCGCACCACCAGCTTGTTTCGCTCCCAACCTCGAGCAAGTACACAACTCTCGGTAGATCCCAGCCAAGACGGCCGACCCCTAACTTTTTTTCCCGATCTCGTCCCAGACACCGAGGAGCATATTTAACCACATGCCTTGTATCCACCGATTTGACTTGTCGGGGAACAGAAACCCACCAACCAAACCAATTAGGTAGACACGTGCATACCGCTCCACCTGATCTTCAGGAGTGTCCGGGACTATATTAACCTCCATTTGGATGTGGTCAACAAGCCACGGGACCGATACTTGCCCCGCATTCAGTGGTGGATGCCCAACCCCGTCGACGGGCGTGGTGGTCGGCATGTTGAACCCCAAACGCTCTTGAATCAACGGCCCCCAACCATCTTCCGGTTTTTTCGAGCTGTCGATGATGGCATCTCCGGTGATCGGGAGCGCGGTGAGGATGGCAACATCTTTGAGGGTGATCGTCATTTCACCCTCGGGAAAGTGGAAGGTATGCAGCTCGGGGCGCCTCGCTCTGCCATTGCCGTCAGCAGATCGTTGTCAATATCAAGCCTCGTAAAGTGCCTCAGCATGTGCAATCCCGTCCTCTCTATATAGGGCTGCAGTCGATCATGCCAACGGGGCAATCGACATGTCCTTCGATGAGCGATGGGAATAAGTGATTCCTACAAACAAAAAACACAATATTGTCAGTCAATAGAAAGCAAAATAAAAACTTTAAAACTACAAACATAATTTTAGTGTGTCTACCGGATTATTGTTCCAAATTGAACGGGAGCGATGTTGATCTTGCCCGGTTAAATACCTTCGATCCCTTGGGCTAGGATCGATATACAATCGAGGGTCGTATATCTCAGCACCCATCTATAAAAAAATATAAAATCAAATCAATTTAAATTTTAGCACCCATGTAAAAAAAAATCATAAAAGAATAAAATTAATTTACGTACTCTCAAAGCCTCTTCGTCCATTTTTTGCCGAAAAGCTAGCGAGAGTATCGACAAAACAAAAACTCTAGTAATTCTTTCTGATGCGGAAGATCGGACTTAGCCGCAACCACAGAGCATACTTAGAACGAAACTAGAGTAAAGTAAAGGAGGGAGAAAGAAGTACAAGATTTTGGTGTGGTTTGGAATGAGGGGGGGGGGAGTGGTATTTATAGGGGAAAGGGGCGATGGAAATGAATCCAGGAACCAATCACCGCGTTGAACGAAAGCAGTGAAGTCACCGCTTTGAACGAACGCGGTGAAGGCTCGGATCGCTGACATGGCGCGGCGTGAGGCGTCGGATCGTGGAGAAAAACCACAATCCGCGCCTCACTGCATCCAACGGCAGCGGTGAAGGCGCTGGTGGGGCGGATCGCTGACGTGGAAAGCGGGGCCATCACCGCTTTAGTCATTAGCGGTGAATAGCCCGCGCGCGTCCACGTCAGCGATCCGCACCTATTCACCGCTTTCCAATCCAACGGTGAAGATCCATTCACCGCGTCTGTTATCAACGGTCGTGCTATCATCGCTTCCGTTTTGGTCAAAAACGGTGATTGCCTTCACTGTTTTGGTTTGCAGCGGTGATGCCCAAACTGCTGTATTTTGGGAAATATTTTCATAAGCACTGTATTTTGGGAATTTTTTTTACTAACTAGTGTATTTTGGGATTTTTTCCGTCGAGAGCGTATATCCCGGAACAGGCAACGTATTTCTGCAGCAAGTGATGAAATCAGAGCCAGAGGAATGCATGGATACTAAGCAACTGTAGTTGCAATTATCAGAGTAATTGGAGGAACAATAATGGTGATGTTAAGAACTTATTGTTGCTTTCGCTGCTGTTTGAAGTTTTCTGCCAATTTTATGGATTTTAGAGTCTGGTCATATCAGTACTGCGTGAAAATCGAAAACGAGAGAACGGGACAGTGCAACCTGGGAACTAATCAGGTTTTCCGCCGCACTTTCCCCAGCCCAATTGTCTACTGCGTCTTTAAGACCATCTGTATCGCCAAAACTTGGTGATTCCTCAGGGTGATATTAACATCTACACGGGTGAAACTGCTAAATTAGCAAGATTACACTACAATTTTTCTTTCGTTAGTCGTTACACTTCCACTTTGGTGAATATAATCTATTAAGCATATATTGTTGCGTAGAATTTAAGTGGTACTTGAAATTTGAATGAAGTATTTGTTTAGACGACTTATACAAGCGATGACTTATACAAGCGATAAAAGTTATCTTTACATTATGTTTGGCAACAAGAGAGGGTACAAATTCGAGTAGGGTGCAAATTGAGGTGCACAAATTGATGAGGTAGCTATAGACTTATACAAGCGATAAAAGTTATCTTTACATTATGTTTGGCAACAAGAGAGGGTACAAATTCGAGTAGGGTGCAAATTGAGGTGCACAAATTGATGAGGTAGCTATAGAGACATGTGCAATAGATGAGCTCTTATATAATTTAGGGCTAATACCACAACATCCGAACTATGACTAAAATGCCACGTGTGCCCTATTTTTTCAAATATTTCATTTGTGTCCTTGTGTATTTCATTTGTGTCCTTGTGTATTATATTTGTGTGTCACTTGTATCCTGACGATTTCGTTGGCCGTTATAGATAACGGTTGACCGGATGATGTTCAAAGTAATATTGACTTTTGTTGACATGGCATCCACGTAGACGCCACGTCAACAAAATTATTAAAAATAAAAGCAAAAAAATTATTTAATAGGGGGAAGAGGTCTTCGTCTCCAGGGCAGAGGCTCTTTGGAGTTGAGGATTACGTCGGTAAAAAGAAGATTGCGGGCGTTGTTGCCGGAATTTCCAAAGTCTCTAAAGTGCTTGCAGGAATTTCAGAAGAACCCCTCCCCCACCCTACGCTCTCTGCCCTCCCTGCGGTCAGTGCCTCTCAAAAGACCTAGATCTACAGAATCAACTCAAAGAACCCGCTGAATCCGAGCAAGTTTTCGTTGGTGAAGTTGTTGGTTGCTACTAGACTGTCAGCTATTGTTGCAATCACGCGTCGAGGACGGTGATTCAGGATTAGTGCGTTCAGAACTGGAGGTTCAGATTAGAGAAGATCTACCAAGATCGAGAATCTGGTCTTCTCAATCCCTTCAATTGAGTTCTCCCACAGATCCACCGACCCAGGTTTCTCCGCCGCTGCCAGTTAGGCCTCTCTAACTTTCTTCTCGGATTTGGATTTGCATACCCAAATCTGAAATCTCGGATCCCTAACTTTATCCTTCAATCCCAATCTCGATTCTTCTCCTAGACCCCAGCCCGACTCCGACTTCGTTCTTCTCGATCGATTTCCAACACTCAGGACAAGGGCACAAGGCTTTGTCATAGTCGAGGAAGACCCTGCGGTGGAGGAAGGAGAACAACATCGATTCCATCCATGAAGAAGTTTTGGGCGACGAAGCTGTTCGTTGAATAAGGGGAATCGTCGAAGGGAGGAGAGGAGAGATGGAACATATAAGTTTTTTATTTTTGTAATTTTATTAATTTTGGTTTAAAAAAATAATAATTGAATTTAAAATTTCATGTCAGATGCCACGTCAGCGTTGACTAAACTTCTGTTAAATACTAACGGTCAAACCAGTCAATACTAACGGGAAAATAGTTCATGATAGAAATGGAATATTGAAAAGAATAGGACACAAGTGACATTTTTGTCATAGTTCGGGTGTTGTAGTGATATTAGCCCATAATTTAAGAGGATTATATATAAAATTAAAATACAAAAATATAAATATATTACATTGAAATTATCGACAACACGGGCAACTGGCAGGCACTAAACTAGTATAGTATATATCGAAGCAAAAAAGAAACAACCAAGCCGATATTGTTCCGGGGTAAATCCGTTAAGTAAGGAGATCGATGGAGCACACAAATTAACAAGATGATAGAAATCAAGACCATAGTACACAAAAGGAACGAGGGACAAAGGGAATCAACTCCAAATGAACGCAAGTAGTACCAAGTCGATCGATCCATCACTTGATCCATGACCTGGGCTTGGCAGTAGCAGCAGTAGCAGCCGAAGTAGTCGAGGTACGGCTGAACTTGTTCTTCACATGACTGATATAGTCAGAGAACTTGCTGTCTCTCCCAACCCCTGAATTGCGCTTCTCATAGTTGTAACGATTGTCGTCTCCGGCGGTGGACAGCGTCCTGAGCCTCTTCCTGACGCTACCGATGTAATCGCTGAACCTGTCCTCGATGTCGATCCCTGACCTCTGGTGGCCGTTATGTTGTGGCTGCGGTGGTGGTTTGGATTGGATGTTGATGACCCTTATCGTGGTTGGGAGAACAGGTGATTCCGCCGCCGTGGTGGCAGAACTGCGGCGGGGAGTTTGATGGCCGAATGCAGCTCGGTGAATCCTTCTGCACATGTGATTCAGTGGGCACCCTTTGTGGCCGCAGTAGTTGTTGTTTTGCATGGAGTGAGTTCTTGATTATGGGATGAAAGGGTTGGAAGTGGATTGCTGCCATTTATAGTGTTTGCTTTTGGGTGCTCCATCATCAGATTCCTTATGATCACTCATTGCAAACCTTCCAAGCAACACATTGTGATCTTTTTTTAATAGATTAAGTAGCGACTTCTCGAGCCATTTACTAAATATCCACTTTCTTGAAATAGGCCCATATGTTATAAAAATATACAATTAAGCTCCTGAACTATGTAATTTTTTTTTTTTTGAATTACAGTTCCGTCTAGTTGTTCGTACATCGTTCGTGATCTGATCTATAAGCCCCACACTCGATCTACAGACTCGCTTTGGTGGATAATTATTTTCTTTTATTCTCTAAAGGAGGGCAACCAAACAAACTCAATTCCATAGTATCCACTAGTGTTGTTAATGTGTGCCGATGACGTTTCAATCTCGGCCCGCGTAATTCTCATATATAATCACGTTGCTTGTGATGTACAACTAGTCGTTCTAATATGTGCGAGAAGAAAGTTCTCAACAAGTAAAGAGGAGTTTGTGAGAATCTTGTTGGCCACAAATTAAATGTGAAGTCGTGGGCTCATTAAAGATGATAATGAATCATTTTCATTTTTTGGGTGAATACAATGATAGCCAACTTTTCCTTCGAGGTGCTTGAACATTTTATTCTAAAAATGAAAGAATTTTACTAAATAGGCTAAGGTTGGGATTGTTTGTTTGTCCTTCCAAAGGATGATTTTCGAGGACAAGTAGATGTAATACTCACAAGAGATGTTGAGTGAGTCGAACTCGGTAGAGTGTGGGATCCTCGCAAAGCAATAACCAATAGGTGGAAGGAAAAACACACAGAGAGAGTGGTTTACAAAAATTCACATTGTCTAGTGACTTAAACTTACCAAGTTTTCTAATACATGGGTTTGTTTGAAGAAAGTGAATAGTGTATGGGCCGAAATGTAACTTACCATTTTATTTTTATTTTTGAGCAAGTGATGAAAATGGGTTGGGATCTCATTCTGTTTGTGTTTTTTGACGATTTCAACAGACACCAATTGCGAAAGGGAGCTGGAGGAGGGAAGTTCAGGACGGTATCGGATTCATGAGGACTAATGAGGGTAAAGGCTTTTATTTTTGAATGATCCCTCTGCCTTCTCCTTTTTTTTTTTTTTTTTTCTCCTTTTGACGTTCCCAGCACAAGCTGCATTAACTACGGAGCCAACATGTTAAAATTTTACTTATTGACCGGAACTCCCCTGACTTGATTGTTGGAGAACTAACGGACTAAGTTAGTCCGATGCACCGCTTGTTAGTGATGGTAATGGGGCGGGGCGCGGCGGGGCGGGTACCTCAATTCCCATGCCCCGCCCTACGCTACTACGATAAAACGAAGGGTAAAACACTTTAAGAATAAAAAATAGTGATAATAGAATGGGTAATTGAGTCTAACAAGTTGAAAGAGCGACTCTAACTAATTGAAGAAAAGTCAAAATAGGAGAAATATATATAGAAATTGTAAGAAAGTGTAAGAAATTGAGATAAAATGAGTCTAGAACGGGGCGGGGCAGGGCGGGTCAGAAGTAGATACCCGTGCCCCGCCCCACGCTACTGCGGGTCGGGTGATACCTGCCCCATCGCGGGTCAGGTCGGGTAATACCCGCGGGATTGGTTGAAATTGCCATCACTACCGATTGTACATATGCTAAGTGCTCATCAAGATAATCGCGAGGATCGAGAACAAGAGGAACGTGGGAACAAAGAGAGTCTAACGGGTCGTTTGGATTCATCATTTTGGTTCTATGGTATTTCGAATCCAAATGATGCATTATTTTGCTATGTGGCATTTCATGTGGTATTTCATTTTGAAATGTGGTAATTGGTGTAATTGTCTTGTTTGGATAAAACATTCAAATATTGTGGTATTTCACCACTTAAAGAAGGGATGAAGTAGAAAAAGAAGTTGAGATATGAGGTATTTGAAATAACTAGGGGGTGGGTAGGTATTTCAAATAACTCACAATGAGTTATTTCAATTGACTCATGGACAAAATACCACATTCTACTTTATTTTTGTCAAACGAGTTATTTTGATTGAAATACCTTATTCTGAGTTATTTCAACCAAATTATCTCATCAAAATACTGCATCCAAACGACCCGAAGTAAACTTAAATAATCAATGTTAATTGTAAACTATCTTCTTGAATTAGCCACACAAAAAATTGATTATAGGAAATGTGGCTTAAGGCGGAAGCAGCTCCACATGCATTTTATTTTCACTTGAGACACGCAACAACAAGTCTCGCGGCAGCCAGATTCGATTCCTCAGTTAGCTCACATCCCATTCGTGCATTGCCTGCCCGTCCAAAACCGAATTCCTTTTCCTCTCTCTCTCGCTCTCTCTAGATATATATATAGAGTTAAAGAGGGTAGATGAAGTGCTGCCATGCCATTGCCAAGCCAACATTTTCCATACCAATATTCCACCATTAGTTGATTTCTTCGCTTCTGGGTTCCTGTAATCCACTCAGTTGTTTCTCTTTTTAGTTTGAGATCTACCATCGGCTCCTTAATTCCCATATTCCAAATGGCGATTCCTATTACCACACGAGATGATGATGGTGGTGGATGGGGAAAGGGTTAACAGCAAAACAACTACTTGCTAGTTGCTACTACCAGTAATCAGGGTTAAGATTCAGAGTTGTATTACATAGAATCCCAGCCTGGAACCCCTGAAAGTCAATAGCGATGGCAACTTCACTATCTGCAGCTGCACTTTTCACTTCTCTGGTAATTGATCCCGCGCGCGAATCCAGCCAATCATCATCTGCATGAAATATGACCCTACACCTAATTTTCCTACAAATCATTTACATGCACTCCCTCAATAATCCCCACGAAGACAATATAATATAATCCAGCCCTGTATCTGTATGAAACCAAATAAAAACTAGTCCTCGCAACGGCCTGACTTTTCAGTTGGAGCGAAAGCTCTCTTCCTAAAATTAAAAATCTGACGAGTTCGACATCTCTCCGCAATCTCTGTATCTGAGGCTCGACTGTTTCTCTCACGAGCAGAAGCCTGTCAATGGCGGAAGGTCTGAACCACCACCTGTTCTATCCGTCTCCGGCACAGTGGGCAGTTGGTGAGATGTGAAGAGCATGTTGTACAACAGCACATGTGCGCGCACCTGCATATTCATACGGTACGACACCGATATTGAAACAGTTAACTCTATCTTGCAGTTCATTTTAAAAGTAGCAGCACAGGTAATTTATTTGCATGCTTGTTCTGTTTAAGCATGTGAAAATATGGGCGGCATACTTACTTACGGGGCATACACAGCATTGTACTCATGCTCGAGACATATTACACATATATCTGGAATGGACGTTCTCTCTTAGAACTATCTGATCCATTCATAGCCACTCCGTTAGCACCTGAGAAAACGAACCCAAATATTATAATACCATCTGCTAAAAGCATCGCTTTTAAACAACCTGTTATGCAGAAAGTTATTACCTTCAGCATCTCGATTGCCTGATCTTTTTTTTTTTTTTTTTTTCCGCAGCAGCAAGTACTCTGCAAGGTCACAGACCAATTGCTAAACAATCATCCTGCAAATTAGCATTTCCCAGGCACATGAATTCAAATGCCCTTCCGATTTTCTGTACTAGTAGAGAAGGTTCTAGCCCTTGCTTACCATGACACCTATTGTACCTTTCTCTCCACAACATGCTGGTTATTAGGTTCCATAGCAGCCTCCCAACCTTTAGCGAAAGGTTGCTTACCTCCAAACTTCAGAACTGCCCACTGCAAACACTGATCAAACAGCCTGAAAGACACTCGTTGTAGGTGAATGGCCTGAAAACAACTCTGCAACACAGCTCAAGAGTAGGTACATTGACAGAAAGGGTGTTCTCTTGTCTCCTGTCCAAGCCCACAAAGTGTACAACTGTTATGCTGCTTTCCATTGCTGGTCACCGAGAAAACGCCTCGAGTAAAAACAACTCCAGAGCTTCTAGAATCAGATTCCTTTTTCTTTATATAATTTACTTTTGTGATTAGGAACTACTAAAGAGATTCGAACATGGGACCTTCAGGTTCAAGGCTAGTGATATTAACACTAGACAAATCCCTTGTTCGTAAGTTACTACTCTAGTCTTCACTACACTATTCTCAGAGTCCGCCACCCGTGGTAAAAGCAGACCCAACAGTGAACCTAGAGTCTGAACTAGACCCAGGAACTCCATTCCCACCAACAGAACCAATGAAAGCCTCACTAGATTGCTTATCCCCACCGATGACGCAAGATAAGATTGGATACTTCACAAATTCTGATTTGGCTGCAAATTTGCAAAATGCAAGCCCTGATGTTTCAGCAAACCTGCCCAATAACAAGGCATGCAAAGCTAAGAACTCAGTTCTGCAAATCTTTGTCTCACTGCACAAGCCAATTTCCACTGGCCTGCATCAATCAAACCCTGAACAACCTTCAGCCTGAACTTAATATACGGTATAAACCCTTTTTCTGTCATTCGCATAGCTACTTTGGCACCCAAAATATACTCTTTGCAGTCCAAGCATCCCTCCAGAACCAGCTCATAACCCTCGAACCCAACTGCATAATTTTCCTTCTCCAAGAACTCAATCAGTTCAAATGCTGTCCGTATCTCCCTGTTTGCTCGCAACGCTGCTGCTACTTTCTTTATAGTTCCCTGCCGTGGCGTCAATCCACTTGTAACCATCATTTCCTTCAGCAGCTCCAAGGCATCAACAGTTTTTCTAACGACGCACATCGCACCAATCACAGGACCATAACTCTCCAAATCAGGAACGCAGCCTGCTCGAGTCATGCCCTTCAAGACTTTCACTGCCTCCGGCAATTGATCCACAGCACAGAGGGACGAAATGAGATAATTACAAGTTCCAGTATCAGGGTCATACCCAATCGACCTCATCTCGTGGAGAATATCGGCAACTGTCTGAGATGGCCGGCGGCGAGCAAGCCAGGCGGAAGAGAGGAAGAGCTGAGTCTGTGGAACGGGCAAACAACCCGAACGAAGGGTGCGCTGGAGGACAGCGAGGGCAAGGGGGAAGGGATCGAGACTCTGAAGGGTGTAAGCGAGAAGACAGTCGTAAACAATCTTGGGGAGAGAGCGGGGCCTGAGAGGGATGAACGACTGCAAAATGTCGTCGATAACATGAGTTCTGACCTGTAGCGGGGAAGTGGAAAGGAAGGAGAAAGGATTTGGGTTCTGCCATGAGACGTTTGATGAACCGAGAAGGTCCGGGATTCGTTGATAGGTCCTCTCCTCAACTGCGGTTCTAATTGCTTGCTGGAGGGACTGCGATGAACTAGAGACTGTGCGGGCAGCCGAGGGCAACCGGAGAAGAGGAATACCGGCAAGGATGAATCTGAAGCGCCGCGAGTTCATTTGGGAATTTTGACGAACATGTGGCGTTTAAGCAAAATTGATGGCTGGCTTTGAGATGGGAAGCCTGGCTTGATCCGTCGTTCAAATTCGCAACAACGATTAGGCTCAGCAAACTCCCTCGCCCTACTAGATTCGCCGCTTCGTACCTATCCCAGCTAAGGATGACAATCAAACCCATGACCACGGGTATCCGATCACACCCGATCCAGTCAATGCGGGTAAATTCCCGCTTTGATCGGGTATGGGGCGGATATGGATAAAACCCGCAAAAATTTGATTAATATGGGGCGGGTTTGGTTTTAGCCTCCCCGCCCCATACCCATACCCGCCCCACCAAGAGAATTTATTCATATATAAAAAATATGTGCATCAAATTATAATCTATCAATGATGATGAGGATAACTTGATAAAATAAATAGTAGAAATGCAATTGAGTGACTATCTTAATCAAAACCTAACTAATTTCTCTCACTTCCCATTTCACTTTCCCCTTGTCAACAAGATTATGTTAGTTAATTATTACTTAGTAGATGTATCTAGAGATGGCAAAAATATCTGTAACCGTGGATATCCGCCCGAATCCGGCCTAATCGGGTAGGGTAAAACCCGAATCCGAAGGACATTTAGTAGGTACGGGTAAAACCCGAATTTGAATATTGTGGTAATGGGTGGACATGGGTTTCTCACTATCCAACCCGAACCCGCTCGATACACATGCATATGTATTTATCAAGATATAATCATTATTTTCCTCTAACATATTTTATATTTAGCATATAAAAATAATATTTACATGAAATGGTGTTATTTTAATTGATTTTCTTCATTCTAGTGAATTATTGTCATACTTTTCATCTTACGTAATATGAGAATACGTGTGAATGTTAACGTATTGGTTGGAGTTATGAAGAGAAATTATTACCCATGGATACCCGAAAACCGACCGGGTATGGGCATGGTTATGATTTTCTACCCGTTTCACATGTGGGTATGGGTATGGATAAAACCCGAACTACTTTGGGTAGGGTAATGGATATGCACTATCCGCCCCCGACCCGACCCATTGCCATCCCTAGATGTATCATAGTTAGAACATAATAATTTGAAAAATATTATACTCTATATTATGTATTAATGGATATTTTGGGATCGTATTCTTTGAACCATATTAAAAAAAATGACTGTGTTTTGTTGACTTCATGATATAATATGTTCGTTTAGAGTCATAATTAAAAATTTTCTGGTAAGTTTTAGGTATAATAATGTCGGATGTACGGGTATGGGTATTACCCATGGGTACCCGAAACCCACGGATATGGGGATGGCCGGATGGGTTTGCAAAACATTTCCCCGCATGGGTATGGAGTGGGTATGGGTTTGGGTATTTGAAGATGGAGATGGGGATGGTTTAGGAAAACCCGCCCCATTGCCATCCCTAATCCCAGCTGTCTAGCCTTGGCTAGTTTATGGGGCGCCATTTTTCTCACATATTAGGTATCTCTAACTCCAATGCTAATCCCCAAATTTGGGGACTTTTTTTTTTAATAAAGATTTCACTTTTTCATTCCCGAATGATGATGGGTTTTCAGTGGATGAGAGACAAAGGAAGAGACAATGGATGACATTGCAAATCTGGCAAAGAGGGTTAGGAGCACAATTTTTGGGTTGCAAATTAGCTTTTGTCGCTAGAGCATTGCGGAGGCATCTTCATAAAAAGAACCGAATCTTTGGTGGGAGGTTGAGAGACCAAAGCCATTTTCATGAGTCGTTAGCAGATGGAGCATTGAGATCTTGCATGGGTTGATTTTCAAGCTGCCTGAAGTGTCTCCTCACTCCATGGTAGGTCGATTTCACAAAGAACCTCCAATTCGTTGTAAAGTTCCACGCCCTTCTATCTTTGTACTCAATGGGTCCAATATGAACTTTAGCAATCGCTTCCGCTTCAGAAAGAGAACAATGATTATGGACAAACCTCCAATTCCAATGGCGCGGTTCTTCTTCGATCTAGTCACTAACTCTAGAGTGGGGCACGTTAATATATGACATCTTATGGCATTCGATTGACGGGATTCAGGGGTCCCTATCAAATCATGTATCATCTCCAGAACCAATGACATGGATAGTTCCCAAGTCCATTGCTTTCTTTGAATCACAGACAGGCCGGACCAGATCCATGAGGCGGAGCTCCCCTTTTTTGCATAGCGACAATCAGAGTTAGGGACGTATCAGCTCTGAAGGAGGCGAGCCCACAAAGATTCTGGTTCATTCAGAAGCCTCCACCCCTGTTTCACAAGCAAAGAAAGGTTAAACATGTGGAAATTACGAAAATCGAGCCCCCTTCATATTTCAGGTCATTAAGCACTTCCCTATTGCGCCATGGAATCGATCTTTTGTTCATCGATCCTGACCAGAAGAAGTTCCAAATAAGAGAATCCATCTTCATGGTTGACTCGCACGAAACTACACCACAATATAATCCCGATTAGAGTCCAAGTTTTTAAACTCTAGCCGAGTGCAGTATAGAGCAAGTATTTAAATATCAACCCGGGCCGGTCCGTCTACCCCTACTTCAGTCGTTTTAATCATTATCTAGCAACAAAGTTTTGGTTTAAAAGTTTGCTAAATATAATAAAATAGGGCAAAGGCAAATGTTTTTGAAAACTCTTTTGTGGAAGGATCACTCGGGTGTCGCTTCCCCCTAACTACTACCATGATATGTGAATTGGAACGATTTCTTTGGGCAAGGTAACCGCAAACCGCAGTGGCATGCATATATGGTCGGAGACCATAATCTCAATTGCTAAATCGAGGTAGACATTATAGGTCGTGTCACTCGACCCTCTCGGTTTAGGCAATCGGTAGTTGACTTACTCCCTCACTCAACTCAAAGGTCGGATGGCTTAATCGCGATTAACCAATTTGCTTAATTCAACATTGAGGGTTGCCCTAAATTAACCCAGTAAGGTGGCTTAAAAAGCTGAAGGCAAACCAACTCGATTGAGTCTCACTTGGAATGGGGATTTTCCTCTCTAAGCTAGGTTAAGGTGGCTAATTAGATTGCTACCAACATGAACAAACCTAAGGGCGCTAAGCATAATTATGCACAATCCTTAGGTTGATAAGCACCAAAATGCACAAACCTAAGGATGCTAAGCACAAAACATGCACAACCCTAAGGTTACTAAGCACAAGCATGCATAATCAACATGAATAATACCTCAATCATTGGATTAACCAATACCCAATGACAATCATTCAATTCACATAAAAGAAACTACATGGTAGAGTTAGGGTTTCATAATACCCAAGTGAAAGGAGATCTACTCCATGCTATAAATGGGAAAAACACAAGGAGAAGAGGTGGAAACCATCTTGGAGGATGTTCCCAATCTTCTTGGCCCTTGTGTTGAACTTTCCTTGGAGGAAATCTTCCCAAAATCCACCTTGAAGCAAAACCCTAGCCTTCTTCTCCTTATTTGGTTCGTGTTTCTCTCTCTAGAAATCTGAAGAAGGCTTTTCACACGAAATGGAATCTCCCCTCTCTCCTTATTTCAGCTCATCTTTTAAACCAGAAACGAGCTCAGTTCACGGTCTGAGTTCACGGCTGTGAACCATGAAACACGTCCGTGAACTGCAGGCATGCGCCAAAATGCACCGCTTCGTTCACTTCTGTTCACGGTCAACAACCTCCGTTCACGGTCTTAGTGACCGTGAACTCACCTTGCGTCAGTAACCTCTTTTCTTGCTCTGGACGCCTCGAGGTTCAAGGTCAAGGGCTCTTCTTCACCGTCATGCAAGATCGTGAACTTCCTAGGATAGCCGTGAACTAGCCCTTTTCCACCTCTTCTACCGGTTTTCGATCCTTTTCGTCCAACTTTCGATTCTGAGGCTGGTTTCACCTGTTAAACCCTGAAACACACTAAACCACGAGAACCCTAGCGTAAAACCAACCTTTTAGGAGTGAATTTGCCCCAAAAACCTAAGTAAAACGGGGCAAAACATGTACAATTAGGCCCGAATCACTCCCCCACACTTAGACGTTTGCTTGTCCCCAAGCAAACCATTTCACACAAGGTAATATTTCAACCTACACAAATACTTTGGGGACAACAAAGGGCACAAAGTGGGAATTCTCAATGGCTATTGGAAATCAATACATGGACTGTTGCAAGCAATACCGACATCCACCACAAACGACATTCGAAGCCCCCAAAAACGGGCAAACGAAAAGTTCTCACCTCGTTCATGGATCAATGCAAGTCGCAAGAAGACCACTTATCAACCACAACCAACCATGCATGGAATTCAAGTCCTAGAAACAAAATGAAAGGCAACATAGGTCCTCACTGTGCTATGATATGACAAGCAAAGCAAGAATGAAGCACTCACTCTCAAGACCAGTGGGGCGGGGACCTTTTTGGTGCAAAAGATGTGCACAATCATAAACTCTGGGCCCTATTGTCTATATATCACGGTGGTAACCTCTAGATGCTAGAGTTCACGGGATGGTTGTCACCACTAGCTCATCCGGAGATCTTAGACACGGGTTCAGATGACTGGCAATTGTCTTGGACATGGGAAAAAGGCTTTTTGGGTGGTGGCAATCATAACATGAGGTTCTACATCTTCAACCTAAACCCGAAGGTTCTATGGTTTCGACTAAGACCCCTCTCTTCAACCCAAGGCCACTAGCATCGGCCAAAACCCTTATCTCTCCTTTCCAAGAAACGCCTCCTAGAGCATGTACTTTGGTTTTTCATGGCACTCTCTACTTTATTTACCCCATTTTATTACCTCTTTTTATTTTCTATTTTCTTTTTCTTTTCTTTTTGAGGGGGGTACTAGAGAGTAAAAACACTTGCCACCTATACATTTAACGACCAATGCTCTCTTTTTGAGGAGCTCACTCCAACACTACACTTCATTTTTCTCATTCCTAGCAAGGACCACACACAAACCTCCTATGTAGAACCTCTATAGAAACTCAAAGTTGAGAGCTCCGGGACACAAGGATGACTCATGTTTAGACACGAAGAAAGGATTGGGGGTCGTTCTATTAACACCATTA